CTGACCTAGCCGTGGCAGTTTCATTCCTCCAGGCCAGACCGTGTAAATGTGTATCCATTGTTCTGTAAAATGGCTTCCGCCGGACCACCGCCCCCAGAGAGAAACCTTTCCTTACCTGGACCCAGCGGCACTAAGCCAAAGAAGACACGACGTTCCTTAAGCTACGAGGTGAAGTATACCATCATCCAAGAGTTGGAGAAAGGAACAAGGCAGGTTGATTTGGCGCGCCAGCATGGTGTGAATGAATCTACGATTCGAACAATAAAGAAGGATGCAGCCAAGATAAAGGAGCACATGAAGATCACAAAGTCTACAGGTCTTCTATGATCAAGTAGTTTCACAACCAGGTGCTTCTCAAGACAGAAAAATTACTTGTGAGGTACTTGGTGCGTCAGGCGCGACGGAACATGGCGGTCGACACGCGCTCTGTTAAGGAGTACGCACGTGAACTGTACATTGCAGTGGCACGAAAGATGGGAATTACAGAGCCCAAACCCTTTAATGCTTCCTCTGGGTGGTTACAGAAGTTTAAGATCCGGAACAAGATCACCAATATAAACATTGGTGGTGAAGAAGCGAGTGCTGACCGTGCTGCGGCTAGGGAATTTCCTCCGTTTTTACGTGAGATTATGGAGGAAGGACAGTACAGTGACGACCAGGTGTTTAACATGGACGAATCTGGTCTTTTCTGGAAAAAGCTACCTTCCAAGTCCTTCGTTGTAAAGAATGCCAGCAAGATTCGGGGCCGGAAGATGCAGAAGGAACGCATCACCGTCCTGTTTACCACCAATGCCTCCAGTACCTGTAAGCTCAAGTTATCGGTGATCCACACAGCACGCAAGCCGCACGCCTACAAAACCATGGACATGACCAAACTAAATGTCCACTGGCTGACCGCACGTAAGGCGTGGATGTTCTCTACACTGTCCCTCTCCTGGTTTGATGACTGTTTTGTTCCCGATGTAAAGAAATTCTGTGAGCGACAGAATGTGCCATTCAATATTTTGTTGCTGCTGGACAACGCACCAGGACACTCGCCCCTACTGTTAGATCGTCACCCCAACGTAAAAGTGGTCTTCCTTCCTCCCAACACTACGTCTATATTACAGCCCATGGACCAAGAGTTAATCTGCAATGTAAAAGCTGCATTCTCAACAAAAATGTTCCAGCTCCTGAACGACTACACCAACACCAGGGAAGAGTTGCGTAACCTGAGTGACACCACCACCGATAGCAAGAGCGAAGAAGATGAGGATCAACAGTTGGCACAGCAAAAAATACTGTTCAAACAATTCTGGAGAGTATTTAACATCAAGAAAGCTGTGGACTTCTTGGTGGAGGCATGGGATCAGCTGTCTATTGCTACAATTCGTCACGCATGGAGACATGTGTTGCATGGCATACCAGGTGAGAGGAGGAGTCAATCTGTGACTGGTGAGGTTCAGACTGTTGCAGTAGCAGTGGACCTTGCCAGAGAAGCTGCGCAGAGTGTTACAGTTGCAGGCTTCTCCGAGACCACCAACGACGACATCATGGAGGTGATAATGGAACCTGATGTGACTACCGAGGAGATGGTACATGATGATGACGACGTCAGTGAAGAGGCAGGTGGTGCGTCATCCCAAGAAGAACACCGCTTATCCCATAGTAATGTTAGGGGTGCCATTGAGTGTATCGAGAAAGCCAAGCTCCTCCTTTCCGACGACCCTGACGCAAACAGGTATGAAATCTTCACTACCCAGCTGTTGCAGACTATGGAGCCCTACATCAAGGTGTATCACAACATCAACACCAGCCGTCAGCAAAGCATAACAGATTTCTTCGCCCGCAACCCACCACAGCCAGCCCAAGCCAGTGATAGTGACAGTGAAGATGACTTTGAGGGATTTGTCAGGGAAGCCCTGACAACTGTAAGTGACAGTGATGGTGATGCACCTAGTAATGGTGATTCACCTGAGGGCCAGTAATCTGCCCTCTGCCTCGGAACCAGCCTCCATCCCCGTATGCCGACCCATCTCTTCTACTAACGTAAGTGTTCAACCTAACTTTTAGTTTTCCTAACCTAACCTTTATTTTTCCTAACTTAACCTTTGTTTTTCCTTACCTAACCTCTTCTATATTTCTTGTTTGTGCATGCCATCATAAAGTTAAGATAAAATTTTTACGACAACATATTTGTGTGTCGTCAAAAAGTGGAGTTTGGGGGTCGGCGCGGACTCTATTTCAATTAATCCCATATGTTATGTTATTCACTTTACGCGTTCCTCACTTTCCGCGGGACCCTGCGGGTTACATTAACCGCGTAAAGTGAGGGTTGACTGTATATTAATTTTTTTACTCTAATTTTACTACAGCTACAACCAGGGTCTTATTTTCTTCAGTTTCTTATGTAGAACCATCGTCCCGGTCTTCCGGCTGTAAACACAAACGAGAATAATGGCGTCCCATCTCCTCTTGTGTGACCATATTATTATTCATTTATATTGTATAAGATGCATTCAGAAACATTATTTAAAGAATATAGTTTGCAATTTTCATTAATTGTATTGTTTTGGGGGAAAAGAGGGTAAAAAGCCACACAAAAATATGAAAAGGTCACACTTGGGAATGCATCTGATTAGTATAGTAACATTATACTAACCCAACTCTACCTCTGATCAGAGCAGCTGTGTGGCTTGTTTATATTTTGGTCAAGAGAATTACCAACAGGATGTGAAACTCACATTTTTAGCTGTGATGTTTTGTGTTGCCATGATCGGCCACTAGAGTGTAGCACCATCGCTATTGTCTTGGCGTCATCGACTTATTGCAAATGGCTGACTGGCGGTTGAACTTTCTGTTAACATATCTTTAATCTTTGTAGGGGCATTTTTCATTTAGATAATAAACAAATGTTTCTTAAAGGTAACACAGTCGTTAAATAATTAATGTAAGACATGTATCTGGTGTGGGTTACGTATGCTGGGGAAGGAGGTACAGTGACATGTTGTGAGCTTCCCTCTGCTGTTAAGCCATTATTTACGTCCAGCAAATTTGCCACAAGTTTGTGATAATAGATTGTGATAATTTGGCTTGTTTTCCAGTATTGTATTATTAGTAATATTTTAGAAGTAACAAAATTTTTGTGCTTAGTGCACTACTGTTCATCCCAGACTCCCTAGCTAGGCACCTCCGCATACGGCGCTCGGCCTCCCATCTGTAATACGGGTGCATTGGACGAAGGGTAATTTGTGATACATTAAAAAAATAAAAACAAAAAGCGTCTTATACACTGGCAAATACGGTATATTCAAACTAATCACTATCTTACAAAAATTCCAGCAATGTTAATTATATTCTCCCAGGTCAGTTTAGTGACATTTTATAAGAGAAAAACTTAAAGTCATTCTTGAGGACAGATAAATAAATAAGCACTAGACCTTGGCATCAACTGTCAAATATATCACCTCACCTCTCCCCCCCCCCACCTCTACCTTCCCATCAGATGATCGCTAGTAAACAGACCATTTCACGTCCCATAATTTTAGCTGTGTTGATTTATGAGTGTTTGTTTTAACATAATACTACAAAAAACAATGTTTTGTTTATTCTAGGAGATGGGCTGAGGTTCATCTGGGTAGACTCTCAGTCTTTTTAGTATTTTGTGTTTCTCTCAAGTACCAAACTAAATTATTCCAGTGACACAAAACTTCGATTTAGTGCGAATTTGGTTTAAAGCTACCTCTCTTGGAACGTATCTCGTGTTATATCGACGTTCTACTGTACCTGAACCTGCTCCAGTGTTGGTCAAGTCTGGTCTTGAAAGAACTCACACTCGGTGCCGTCACAACACTTTCTGGCCGATTATTCCAAGAGTTCACAACTCTCACTCCGAAAAAGTTTGCCCTCACAGTTTTCTGGACTTGCGGCTTCTTCAATCTTGAGCTGTGACCCCTTGTGGGGCGAGCGTCCGCCAGCTCCAAGTAAGGACACCTCAATTAGGTCGCCCTTTGCCCGTTTGTAGTATAAGCTAGGCAAGTTCAGGCGCTCCAATCTCTCAGGGTAGTTGAGGTGCCAAAGTGCAGGCACCAGTCTGGTGGCCCTCCTTTGAACATTTTCAACCAACTGACAGTCCCAAGCATATCTCGGGGACCCTTGGTTCCAAAACCTTGCCGGATTATCCATTTTGCCGGACCAACCGATGTCAGGTAATAATAATTCAATAATACACCTCTGACCCAATAATCATACACCTCCTGTGTCTCTAAAGGACCAAGGACTGCTAGAAACTTAAACAAAATATTAAATGCAAATTGAATGTGAAAAAGCCATAATTTTGAGCAACATTAATGTACACACTTTGTAATCAAATGTACTACACTAGACTCAGCAATGCAAGTTATATTCTGCTAAGTCTAGTCAGCTAGCTACATTTTATAAGATAGAAGCTTTAAGCCTAAAACTACCTTCACCATGTCTGGGAGGGAGGGAGGGAAGTTAAGTGCCCTCTCGTAATTTTTCCGGACTAAAGGAGGTGCTAGACCACCAGTTCCTGGAAAATCGGTGGTGTACCTTTACCAATATTTAATATTGGTAATACAAGTCATTGTTTACTGTAAATTTTCTAATAATAATAAAGGCTTAAGTACTGTAACTGCAGTGTGTGTGTGTGTAATAACAATAATAATAATAATAATAAACGGTTTATTATTAGAGTTGCAGCCGGTGGCTGAAAATATACAGACTTACATTTGATTTAGACATAATGATATAATATGCATTGAATACATTTACAGGGCTGTACAGTGTGTGTGTGTGTGTGTGTGTGTGTGTGTGTGTGTGTGTGTGTGTGTGTGTGTGTGTGTGTGTGTGTGTGTGTGTGTGTGTGTGTGTGTGTTCATGCGTGCATGCGTGAGCGTGTGTGGTTTTTTTTTTTAATAAATTAACTAAGAGGAAATACTGTACAGGAAATCACTTCATCTCACTTAGTGATATGAGCATGGCAGATATGGATTAAGTACCTGAACGCCGGAGTCTGCTGGACACAAGAGAGGGATGGCGAAGAGGCAGCTGTATAGTGTTGACAACTTGACGTTTAGCTTCCTCTAAGCCTCCCACTTCCTTCCATCGTACTTGTGGAATACGTGGTGCTCCCAAAGCTTCACTACGAACTGACTGTAACTCACCTGTACCCAAAAATTAAATAACCCTGTATTGTACAGGTAATAAAAATTATATTCCCTTCAACTTCACAATGGCACCTACTGTATTACCTATGGGATATTGCCTTCCACATATGTATCCTGGGTTTGATCCCATGTCAGATGTGATAAGGGTGTTATCCAGTGTAACCCTCTTGAACAATGCAAGTTTTTGCTGGTTTCCTCCTGTACTAACACTTTCCACGACAGATGAGGGAGACACTCATGTGGATCAGTGGGGGAATTAAAACAAACCTCTGGTTTCCTTCAGTCCTTCACTAATCATCAGGGCCGGATTCAGGAGTGGGCAAAGTGGGCAGCTGCCCAGGGGCCTCCACAATCTGGGGGCCTCCACATATTACAATATTCTGAATCTATCTGACCTTGGACTTAAAGAAGCCTATACGTACATGCATTCTTGGACAGAACCATTATTTGAGTAGAGGTTTATCTGATTAATAATGCAAAGAATCCTCTCTCTGTAATAACTAATAATATATTCTTTTCTGTGAAGTTTCTTGAAAAATTATGACATGTGCAGTAGTAGCTATATCAGGGCTGGTAGACTTGAAACCACATGAATGACTCCAGTCATGTCTCACTTTTGTGTGTGTGTTGGGAATTTGTACACTCTCAATAAATATACAGTTAATTAAAAATTTCTCAATGTTCTAATTTCCTCAATATAACTGTATATGGCTTCAAATGTACTACAGATGTTTAAGCTCGCTTCACTCGCCACCCCACCCTCTTGGGTAGTTATAATGAGGGGGGCCTCCACAAAGAGGCTGCCCATTGGCCTCCATAGGTCTAAATCCGGCACTGCTAATCATAGAAGTAAAAAAAAGAAACCTTAACACAATATATATATACTGTATATATATATACAGTATATATATCTTCCCATGAATAATAAAATATAAAAAATCTTCCCTACAATACCCATCACTGAACTTTATCTACTATTCACTTATTCTGTCATGGGTTGACTATTGTAACTCTTTATGCATCTGCCTACCTAATTTTATTCTGAAGAAAGTTCAGACAGTGTTCAACAAGGTTGCCAATCTTATTTTTGCTCTCCCACCGAGGACTCCCACCACCCCAATCTTGATCGAATTGCAGTGTCTTCCAATTAAAGCTAGGATAGAGTTCAAACTTTGCCTAATGACTTTTAAGGCACTTATGTTTGATGATCCTAAGTATCTGTCCAACTTACAAATCTTCTGACCACAAATTATGAAATGATTTTGCCTAGTAGTGATGATCCCTCCCACCACGAGGAGCCTAGAGCAATATGGGAATGTTCTTTTGCTGTCCAATCCTTTTTCTATACAGCGCAGCAATTCAATTGTACAATCAGTTGGCTGCATCCATTTAGCAGCTGACTTCTGTGAGGGAATTTAAGATACAACTTAAGACTTTTCTTTTTTGAAAGCTTATGATCCTCAAGAGGGTACAGTGATGGAGAATTACAGGGTTTAAGAAGTGGTACAACTTAAGGATATATGAACTGTCACTTTTTGTGATATTTTTATTTTTTTATTTTTTTTTTATTCTCAGGTCCTTGACATTCTAGTGTTTCAAGTGCTAGTGAATTCTTTAGAAGACCTGGTGCTTTTGAGAAACAAAAGACAAGCTATTATTATTATTATTATTATTATTATTATTATTATTATTATTATTATTATCAAGATTGCAACTACCCGGTATATACCGTATTTTAATGAATACAGTGGTCCCTCGGTTAACGAGCACAATCCGTTTCAGCAGGTTGCTCGTTAACTGAAAATCTCGTTAACCGAAACCATTGTTTCAATGAGTTTTTGGGTAATTGGTTCCAGCTCACCGAAAATTGCCTAAATTCAACAAAAAAGGTAGAAAATTACACTTACTTTGAGGTGTGTATGAAGAAGGCTCCTGGATGATGATGCTGATGTGAATTCGAAGTGGGAGGTGGAGGAGAAGGGAGAAGAGAAGGAAGTGGAGGTGGAAGAGAAGCATTTTACTGCTTCTTGGAAGGTGAGTCACCTTCCATGAAAATGTCAGGAACCTCTGGACTGACAGATTCTCCACCATGAACATCCTCTCTCCTTCTTGAAGTGGAAGGCTGAGGGCTAGCATCATCCTCTCTCCTTTTTGAAGTGGAAGGCTGAGGGATAGCATCTTGTTCCCTCTGCCGTTTACTGAAGAAAGTGTCAATTGTGGTCTCTGGGGCATCTCTCCTCCTCATCATTAACTTATGTTTAAAGGAGACCATTGTGTCCTCAACATGACACAAAGTTAGTTCAGATTTTTTCACATCTGGGTGCCTTGAAGCCAGTTTCCTGAACTTCTTCCAATAGTAAATAACATCTTTTAACTCTGAAGTTGACATGTGGTCATCACTTTCCTTTTCCTCCTCACCATTGTCAGCCTCTAACATCTCATCCAGTTGCTTCAAGTCATCAGGAGTAAGTTCCTCCTCATGAGACATCACAAGCTCTTCCACATCATCCTCCTCCACTTCAAGGCCCAATGACTGACCAATGGACACAATCTCCTGGTTGGGGGTGCTGGTGGTAGAGTGGTATCGCTCTTGCCTTCGCAAGCGAGATGTCACGGGTTCGATTCCCGGGCCGGTGGAAGTTGTTTGGACATATTTCCTAGCCCCCATTAGTCCCTGTTCACCTAGCAGTAAAGTAGGTACCTGGTGTAAATCGAAAGTTGCGAATTCGTATTCAGGGACAAGTTGTTGGAGCTTCCAATAACTTGATGACATTAACCATTGACTCTTTAGGCTTCTATGCCCTTGACTCTTCAGACTTCTACGCCCTTAACTCATGAGACATAAAGGCAAGCATGAACTTAGCATGCTTCCCTGTTGGGCACTGTAAACGCTTCTGCGCTTCACCTTACACAAGGATGTAGGGGAGTGCCCAATAAATAATAATAAATAAAAAAAAAATCTCCTGGTCCAACTCTGTTTCTTCCTCAAATCCCTCAAAATCATGGACTACTGATGGCCACAGTGCTTTCCATGAAGAATTGAGGGATCTAGTGGAGACTTCTTGCCATGATGACACAATCAATTTTACAGCCTCCAGGATGTTGAATTGTCTTCCAGAACTGTTTCAGTGTTAGTTCAGGGTCATTGGAAGTTGCCTGATGACACCTCCTGAACATTTTATTCATGTACAACTTCTTGAAGTTGCTGATCACATTCTAGTCCATTGGCTGTATGATTGATGTAGTGTTGGGAGGCAAAAACAACACTTTCACAAAGTCAAATTGATACTCCAAAGTTCTGGCAAGTTCAGGGTCATGCCCAGGGGCATTATCCATGAGGAGAAGAGCCTTTAAAGGGAGTTAGGTAGGTTAGATAGCTCTTCACAGAAGGGCAAAACACCTCAACAGACCATTCATTAAAGAGCTGTCTTGTCACCCATGCCTTACGGTTGGACTTCCAATAAACTCCAAGCTTTCCTCTTACCACTTATTGTTGCTTGAACACCCTGGGGTTCTCAGAGTGGTAGACAAGCATAGGCTTCAGTCAGAAATCCCCTGAAGCATTGGCACCAAGCAATAGAGTGAGACGGTCTTTCATGGGTTTATGCCCAGGTAAAGAGGCTTCATCTCTGGTGATGAATGTTCTTTTGGGCATCTTTTTCCAAAACAGCCCAGTTTTGTCCACAATGAACACTTGCTGTGGAAGATAATTTTTTTCATCCACCAGTTCTTTAAACTCCACTAAAAACTTTGCTGCCCCTTCCTTATCAGCACTAGCAGCCTCACCATGCCGAACTACACTAAAAATGACACTTCTTTTCTTAAATTTTTCGAACCAGCCTTTGCTGGCCCTAAAATCTTCAAAGTCTGTGCCTGAAGAACCAGGTTGATCTGTTTTTAAATGTTCGTAATTCTGCCTGGCGCTTTCACAAATAAATTCAGTAGAAACTGAATCACCTTTCATCTGTTTTTCCCTAATCCAGATGAGAAGTAACCCCTCTGTTTCTGCAATTAGGGATATACTTTTAAACACTCTTGTAGATTTGTCTCTCACTTTCACTTCTTTAAATTTGTCTTTCTGTGCAAGAATTGTCGACACAGTTGATGTCGACATGCCATATTCTTTGCATAGCACATTTGTTCTAATGCCTTCTTCATGTTTTGTTTTATAATTTCCTATTTAATTTAGATTGAAATCGCTTTTCTTGATCTCTTAGGCCCCATGCTAGATTCAAACAATCTCAACACGTGATAATTTAAGTTTAAACTTGCTGTAAATAAAGAATATTTTCTTTAAAATAACACTGCACTGCGCTATATATTGTCAATATGTAAAATAAATTTCAAAATGACCAATAATTTGCTTGCAAACACAGAAAAAAAGCATTTAGTTGAAGAGAGTCTCAAGCAAGATGTTACCTCCACTGAAAAGAGAGAGAGACTAACACCTGTTTGGTGTGTTGACAGGCTGGATGGTGCGCTTAAAACTAGTTACCTTACCTTCAATTATGTTCAATAATTGTTAAAATGACTAAAAAAATTTATATTAAACTTTTAAAATTATTGAATAGTATAAACTTCTTGATATTTACTAGAACAGTAAAGAATTTAAGCCCTAGACCCGATTACTGTATTGGCGGACTAATACTATAGCTGGTTGACCGCCAAGTGCAAGCGAAAACATGTTGAAGTCGGCTCGTAAGAAACTCGTTAATCGAGGGATTGCTCGTTAACCGAAGTTAAGAATCTTATGGAAGGTAACTCGTTAACCGAGGCACTCGTTAACCGAGGGACCACTGTATAAGACGCACTTTGTCTCATAAATGGCAAAAAAAACAAGCCTGCATCCTATATGTGAAGTTGTTGTCTCCTGTAAGCTAATGAATATCCCTGTTGTTGTCTCCAGTAGGCTAAATTCTACCTAACCCAACTCCAGAATTAAAAATATGTTATTGCTTACTTAAACACATTATTATTATTTTTAATTAATTAAAAAATATTTATTGTAAATATAAAAGGTCAATCTACATGTATAACTACTCTGTACTGTACTGATAATGATAACCTGAGACGATTAATGTCCCTATGGCAGACACCCAACTCTTCAAAGGTAGCTATAAGCAGTAAACATTTCTGAACTCCAACAAGCATTAAAACCTATTAATGCCATACCTACAACATTTATTTTTTCAATCTACAAATACCTGATACAAATGAAGATTTACAGAGAACTTTCTTTTCCCATTTATATCTGTTAACATCGCTGGTGGCATTGTGGCCAGGTTAGTCTCATCTCTGTAACCACCAGGCTACTGGGTCAAGCTGTTGCTTTTTAACTCGTATTTTCAGGTGGATATACGTAACTTTCTTAATTTATTTTTACTGATATACATGCACACACCATCCTATATACATATTGTGAAAAAAGTAAAAGAAATAATTGTCCTAAGGTAAACACATAAAAGGAATAAAAAAAATTTGCACACGAGTTAGCTGGCTTAGTGGGGGAGCAGGACGGCTGAGCGGTTGGTGGGGGTGGGGGGGGTTGCTAGGGAATCGGCGGAGGTAGCGTTGTCGTTGCTATGGTGAACAGAGAGTACAGACGTACAGCATATGCAAATGGCAACTGTGTTAAACTTTCATTTGGCTTTTATTTGCTGGTTTGGTAATAGAGTATTTTTTTTGTAACTTATATACCTGTACAGTATTGGTATTACAGTATTTTTATTTATTCCTAACATTTACTGGTACTGTATACGTATATTGTTTTAAGAAAACTATAGATACAGGAGGAAAATACACACAAAAGTTTTTCCTAAATAATCCCTGCTAAAATGGAGGGATGGGGGGGGTTGCGCCTTATATGGCCATGCGTCTTATATGCCGTAAAATATGGTAGGTGCTCAACCATAAAACCAAAATCTTTTAGACCAAGGAGTTTTCAGTACCATACAAGCGTACCTCTGAGAATGGTCCTATAACTAAGTCTGGCTCCAACAGTTTTGCTTTAAAACTTCATGTATCAAGGGATAGAACATATGGTTTGTATAGTATCTGTATTACTCTATTGGATGATATACAGTATACCAGTGTATAAATTGAGACATTATGTAAAAAAATACTTCAAAACAAATGTGGGAAGAGAACAGAATACAATATACTGAATTGTGTGTATTGCACCTAACATTAGTCAATATAAAAGTCATATTCAAAACTCAATTTTCATATCAATGATCATTCCCTTATCTACATCATGATGCATCTTTTTACACTTTCATTTAATCCCTCTAATACCACCTTTGAACTCTTTATCTTTGTAACCTAGCAATTTCTATCTATTATTTTTACCCTTATTCCAACTAGACTAAATGGAAGAGGTGCACCAACCCCAACTTATCTCTTAAGCCTTTTGTTGGAATCCTGCACTTTATAATCTTATTCTGACTAACACCAGACGATTTTATACAGCTTAGGAAAACCTCCAGCAGTCAAAGGGGTTAATATGAAAAGGCTATCAACTAAATCTGTGCATCAAATACCAAGGGCTTTGAGAAGGTCAGCGTATACCAGCGGCACATCTGTTTTATTCTCCACATCAGCACCACAGCTGGGAAGTTCCTCTGCCTGGCCATCATCCTTTGTAGTCATGCGAGTTAAACAGTGTCTGTGAGAGAGCATCAAAACAGCTGAGGATAAAGCATATCTATATGTAGTTCTCTAAATATAATAAAGTCATTATCAAATGAAAAGAACTTGAATTAAAATTTCCTTCCTATGAAATATGAACTGCCACATATGAAGTTATTTTTACTCTCTAGTTGCAATAACAGTTATACCATCAGTTATACTTTTTCTTCAAATGTTACCTTTTCCATTTATCTCTGCTATTCTTTTTACTCTTCTCTCCCCCCCCCCCTGGTTCTACATTCAACTTTCACACAATGTAAACATAATCTCTATAATAGTACAGTACTGTATATCCCTTATTTTGTCATTGCTTCCAATATTAAGTATTTAATAATTATAGTAAAACTCCCCTAACTCGGACTTCTTTAAGTCAGATTTACCACTAAGTTGGACTCGGTCTGAGTTGCCAGTGTATGTGCTGTGTTGTAACAGGCCACATAGTGCAATACTAGTCTCCTACTCTGGTCTTTCTGTGAGACCTGAACTGCCAGAATATGTGATGGCATCCAGCAGTGATTAAGTGATTAAATAATGACCACAGTACAGTACGTACGTACATAGTTTTAGCTGAATAAATTGAAGTTTAGTGTGACTAAATTTACCCTGTAATGTACAGTAATTATGTTTGGTGCAATACAGTACTGTACATATTTCTACTTTAATGTCAAGCATGTCAGACTAGCTGAAGTGCAGTGCCTTTCTCCACCCACCAAGGCTTCAGCAGTCACATGGAATAAGGTAAGTGCCTTGGAGTATTCTGCCTTGGAGTGTTCAGTTGTTATTATTTATTTTAATAGTTGTACACATTTAATTCTTTAGGGGTTAGATAAGTTTTTAGACAATATTTTTGACATTAGAGGGCACCAACAGAGTTATTACCTCTAAGTTGGACTTTTGGTTAAGTCAAACTGGCTTAATCCCTATTAAGTCCAACTTAGGGTGGTTTTACTGTAGTTAAATGTTGTAGCAAAAATTTTACAAGCAAACTTACACTGTCCCTTACAATCAGAGATGGTGTCACACCACAAACACTCCACAAAAATGCTGTCATCATCATCAATGTTTTATGGCCAATTTCCACACTTGTATGGGTTAATTGTGATTGTCTGATGGCAGCTCTCCCTGCAGCCTCTCTTGCACGGTAACTCCAATGTTACTTCTTACCACCTCTCCCCATGTCATTCTTAGCCTACCCTGAACTCTCCTCTCTTCCACATTAAGGCTCATGTATCTCTTGACCCAGATGGTCTTCTCCATTGTCTCCATATGCCCAGCCATCTCAGCTTACCTCTACACAAAATTTCACCAATACACTCAATAACCAGCTGCCCTCCTAGCTCTGAACAGGGTTCCCTATCTTTCAGAGTCACAATGCATGTCCACCTCACCATTCTCATTCAGCTCACTGAAGCGTGTGTCTGCCCATCCTCTTTAACCACTCTATACTGTGTTATTAAAACTCACCTGCAAGCTGCATTTACGAGTGCTTGAAAATCACCAAGCACATAACCAGCAGTACGCTGGGCTAAAGTCTGGGTTTGTACTGAGGGCAGCCACTTGGAGAGTAGCCAGACAAGCATATTGGTGCGCTGGCAGAGGTCTGGGACTTGCACACTCTCCTGGTAGCTCCACACACTCCACAGATCATCTGTATTTAAAATACATAATATGAAGAAAAAAAATGGTGATGTTTTTATCAATACCTGCAGTAACAAGTTAAAATCAATTATGAATGTTTTCTTGTACAAAAGCTGAAGTATTACTAGTTGTAGTACCATATTGGAAAAAAAAGAATTCAAAACAATTAAGCCGAGGCAGAAATTTTTATTATCTGACTTTGGGAAAAACAAAGCAGCCTTCCCAACCAATACCAACCTCAGTAGATCCTGCCTAAACTTATACAGATACAACTCATCAATGATTTGGTTATAACTTGCAACATCCCTTCCCCCTATGGCCATCATCAAGTCCTCTCTTTTCTTTTCACCCTACCATCTCTTCAAGGGTCAACATACTGTATCCCTGAAATTCAAATTATCATCATACTCCTGTTCAAACTCAAGCACTCTGCCTATTCAATTACAAGAGAAATAATTGACAAGGCTAATATATACAGTACGATAGAGGAGAGTGAGATCAAGTCCCTTAGGGACAACAGGTGTCAACAATGTTCAGTGACCCAACCCTAACAAATATTCTATCACAAAATTGACCATGCCATTACTAAGCACTTTTGTGTAATTCACTTCTTTAGGGATAGGAACAGACAAGGTTAATGTATACAGTAAAGGAGATCAAATCCCCAGGGACAGCAGGTGTCCAAAGTCAGGTCATAAGGTAAGATGACCCTACCCTCTCACCTGGTTACAAATTCTTCTTAATCACAAAATTGCCCAGTTTGTACCTGCCATTACTCAAATAGATATAATCATGCTTATTTAGTAAATTGAATTTTACATACTTAAGATCAGACAAACCCAAAGGAGGTATTCCTGGTAAGCCAGGTAAGGCAATGTGTGAAGCTGTAAACTTCAATCCTGCAAATTTGTGAAAAACATTTGTGTAGGCCATGAAGAGGGTATCTAAAATAAGAATTGGCCCTCGAAAGATTTTGAGTTTGACACCACTGGCTTAGTCTGTACTCACTCCTCAAGATGTAAATTACACGGAAGTGCTTGGGAATTTCGTGTTTTCTTGTGGTTATCAGCATATACATGGATTCACGCACCTACAGTGATATATATATATATATATATATATATATATATATACAGTAGTACCCCGATTTACGCGGTCAATTGAACCCACAGGGTACCGCGTTAAGTGAAATCTGCGTAAATGGAACAACAGAACATATGGGATTAATTCCAATAGAGACTGGCCCGACCCCCAAACTCTACTTTTTTCGACACAATACCTATGTTCTAGTAAAAATAACATCTTAATTTTATGATGGTACATGCACACAATTAATACTTTAGAGAAATAGAGAAATACAGTCGCCAAGTTAATGTCCATTCAAATAATGGACTCAACTCCCTCCCCCTCTTCTCACACTGCACTGCTGGCTCTTCCCTCTCTGAGAAATTTTGGGGGGAAACCACTAGATTTTAATAAATAATACCTCAAACTAAAGTTAGGATAATATAATTGACATTGCTGGATTCCTTGTAAGACCAGGAATATTTTGAATATAAATGTCATATATTTTGCACAAAAGATAACATATTTACTCAGAGTAAACATTATATCTAAAATTTGTATGTCTATTGCAAAATCTATGATGTTTATATTCAAAATGATCATCAAATTGTAAGAATTCCAGCAATGTAAATTATATTCTGGCCGGGTAATTTGTATGAATTTTATGAGCTAAAACAAATATCTTCTGTTAATAAAAAAAAAAATATTCTTCACACGTGCCAGATGGTCGGTCGGTCCCTCCCTACCAGATGTGTGGGAAAACCAGAATATTTACCTTTTTAGTAATAAATAATACCTCAAACTAAAGTTAGGATAATATAATTGACATTGCTGGATTCCTTGTAAGACCAAGAATATTTTGAATATAAATATCATATATTTTGCACAAAAGATAACATATTTACTCAGAGTAAACATTATATCTAAAATTTGTATGTCTAATGCAAAATCTATGATGTTTATATTCAAAATGATCATCATATTGTAAGAATTCCAGCAATGTAAATTATATTCTGGCCGGGTAATTTGTATGAATTTTATGAGATAAATAAAAAAAATATATATATTATACTTCACCGCGTATATGAGTAGATGAACCGCGTTAAGTGAAAGTTCGGTTCTGGCGAGGCACCGCGTATATGAGAAATCGCGTTAAGTGAAACCGCGTAAAGCGGGGTAATACTGTACTTATAACTTATCCCTTGTACAGTACCCTAGAACAGTGGCATTTCACAATCAATCCAGTGATACTATATAATCTCATACTCCTGTACTTTTAAACTGTGGAACATAAGAGGCACCTCTTAAAATCCATATACCTGTACTGTATTCATAATTATCTCTCCCAAAAAGTACAAGGGGAAACTACTTGCATAAAGAACACAATACAGTACTGTACAGTACTGTATTAGCAAAATCCCTAGGTACGTCACTGCTGTCATATCTGCTCCCTCTATATTTAAAAGAAAAAATACTAAAAGCTAAGAAACAGCTATTATATTAATGTATCTATGGCTGGGCAAACATTTCAATACCATGTCATATTTACTAAATTTAGAGAATAATATCTTTAATTATGAGGCGATAAAGCCATGGTTGAGTTAGAATAAGTTAGGTTAATAGCTACTGAATCTATGATGAATCATCCTAGAGCCATATCACTTATTATCAATACAAGTACAGTATAACATTTTTCTATATGCTGTTGTACTAGATATGCATCACACTGACAATTACAGAATGTCCCTCAGAACATTTAATGTCATCCACCCAAGCATCATCATCTTGCATATATGTACAGTAACATACGTACTTCCTTGCAGTTTTTGTTTTTACTTTAGTTATGCTATGTCTACAACCTTCATCAGTTATAATAAGTGGCCTTTTGTGTCAATCTCTTATGCACCCAAATACTGTACTGTACATTACCGGTATACCTTGTTTAATGATCATTTACTTAGCAATGTAAAATTTTTAACATCCTTTCTTGTTTAACGGAGGAAACTTTTTGGTTTAGTGATGTTCAACACACTGGGAAAAATTCAGGAGGGAATCATTACCTTCTTAAATCACCAGGTAATTACATAGCTTATCACAGAAAAACAAAACAAAAACATCACTAGCTATTGAATCATGGTTGAGAATTTGATCCAGTTAAGTTACTGATTAGGGTCACCTCAGTTGATTTGTAATTCTAAAAAAGGAATATAGCATATATGAAAATTATTTTTCACCTGAAACTGAGGAGCAATCAGGAGCTGTGGCTACCAAGAGCACTGGTGGGTTCAACTGTGACAGTTTTGCCACCTCCTCCTTGAGTGCTGACACCACCCGGGCATCTTTACCACCATCACGGTCCTGTAAATACAATACAATACTCATATATCATGTGTAAGCATAATTAAACTTCTGATAATTCCTCAAAACCAATGAAATAAAAAGTAAAACGCTGAATTACATGACAAGTTGTCATATATTTGTTCTTAAGCCTTTTCCCACCAAGCTGCAGGTTAGACAAAATCGAGCAATAAAATATTCTCCTTTCTTGTGCCTTCATTAATTCAATGAAAACCAACTGTCAATAGCAAGTTTTAATTATAGCTATTAACAATCATTAAAATGGTGAGCTTTCTCTTCACATTCTTGTTTGACTTTTAAATCATTATCTTGAGACGAGACACTGTACAGGTACTCCTCGACTTACGACATATTCGACTTACGACAACCCGGACATACGACCGCCGTGGTCATATAAAATATTTTCAAATTACGTATTTTCGAGTCCTGACGTTAGTGATTGCGCTGTGTACTGACAAAATTTTCGTTTGTAATTACCTTTAAAATGGCTGGCAAGCGTAAAAGTTAGAGTTCTTGTGGTGTTGAGAGGAAAAAAGAGAAACCAATTTTAGATTTTCTATGTATAATTTTCGCATTTTCGACTTTCGACCAATTCGACTTACGACCTGGTCGTCAGTCCCTAAACACATCGTAAGTCGAGGACTGACTGTATTTGACAAATAATACTTCATCATAATTACCTAAAGTTGGAATAACAATGATATATCTAAGTTCTCACAACAATATTGTATTCCTTAAATCTCTCTGACTAACTTTCTCACAGCAGAGTGGTGAGATATTTATCTTTTAGCTCTCTCTTATTCTCATACACAACCCATTCAGTTCCATTATTACAATACATTCCTCTGGAGGGGAAGGGCAAGGAATGGAAAATAAAGACAAATACTGTACATGTACTTTAGATATAGTATATTTTTTTCTTAACGAATAGAAAACCTCAAGTATCAATACCACCTCCTTCACCCAATCAAGCCTTTAACTTCCATCACCCAGCACCAGTACAGGTATTATTAATCTTTCTGGAACATTCTTGCATCTTGTCACCATACCTCACTCTTCTTTCTCTCATCATACTGGAGTGCTTCGATTTACGAAAAGGATACAATCCTGAAAAACATTTTGTAAATCGAAGCTATTTTTTTCACTGACTACCATTATATACTGTACAGGGAAATACGTCTCCTACGAAAAAATAATAATAATGTTCGCCAAACATAAAAATACAAATTTTTAAGCAATTTTTTGGGGGGAAACAATACCTCTATGCCTCTATGCATATGTATTAATCATAATAAAATCAATAAAGCAGTACAGTATCAAGCTTATTTATGGGAAATTGTTAGTGTTCGGTGCTTCGGGTGATGGTGTAACAGGATGGTGGTAGATGGGGTTACTGGGAGGATGATGGTGTAGTAGCTGGAACATCTGCCACACCACCACCTTCATATGACATACCTGTATATGTACAGTACTGCATCGCAGAAACGTGGCCACACACTAGCCTGCACTGCAGTACACTGCTTACTGTTTGTGTTCAACATGGGATGTTGTAAAAGTGGGCCTTTCTTTTGTAAACTAAAGTGCTGGAACAATTTTTTTTGTTTTAGCAAATTTTCCTAAATTGGGGTTTCATAAATCAGAGCACTCCTGTATCCTTCTCCTCACTCTTTACACTTCAATTACTCTTTACACAGCTATATAGGTAGTACATTACATTCCTGGTTTTCTGAACATCTCTTCCTCACTCCTACACAACCTAAACAAATACTGTACTGTAGTATCACACTTACATTCAGAATTCTTCATATGTCTCTACTTCTTTTTAAACTTTGCAATTGGGAAATATTCTATCGTTACAACTTTCCAGTAGAGACAAAGTTACTACAGATAATGTGATTTACTGTATTACTTATGAGAAACTGACAATTTCACACACCTTAGCAATACACTGCACATTCAGGAGAGCAAGAACGCAGGGACCTTGTGCCGAGGCTCTTAGAAAGACCTGACGTAATCTTGCCTCTGTTCCACCGCTTGTGTCTCCTTTAAGATGCCAAGTATTAGTCCAGTGTACTCCTAGACCCAGAGCTGATGCTGCAAGCTTGATAATTTGTTCACTGCCACAACCTGGAGGCCCCAGTAACAAAAGACTAACACTGCCAACACTACCACAATTTTCTTCAGGTGTTCGTATCTTGTTATACTGTTTAACTTTTGTGCAAGGTGTATCAGTCTTGGAATGTAAGATATCACTAGTTATTCTCAATTTATCTTTGTCCTTTTTATTACCTTTCTGGGGTGTAGCTACTCCACTATTGTGCATGATATTGTCTAAACACTGTCTCCTCTCTTCCATTTCCATCTGAAGTATATTTTTTAGCTTATCAAATGGCCTTTTTAAAATAGGAGGAACATCAACATTGCCTCTGTCATCAAAGTTTAGGTTAAGTGAAGGTAGACAACAGTGGGTTGTGCCAGCAAGATATAGGCTAGTAACTCCCTCTGTCACTATAACACTCTGCTTGGTCTCACTGCCACACCTTACTTTTGCACCAGATATCTTAATAAAGACATACTTTGGAGGTATTATGGATGTATTACTCACAAACTCATGGCCAAGATGATTAGGTATTGGTACAACTAAAATATCTCCTGTTGCAACTACTTTGGGAATTTTAAAATAATCTTTCAGGAGTAATTCCACCTCACTTCCACACTTATATGTTGATTCTACAAGTTGTACATGCACTTCCGTGGCAATATCTGGAGAATTCTGCATGTTGTTTTTATTCTCAGTGACAGTTTTAGTCTCATGTACATCCTTCCACAATGCCAAAATTCTCTGAACAGCATCTGAGAGAACTGTAACAGCACTATTCTCAAATTCTATCACAGGATCTCGATTGCAATTCCCTTGTTGTAAATTGTGGTAGAGTAACGGTGAGACAAAGCAATGATCCTCTGTTATATCTGGGCACACTACAATCATAATCCATCTTCTTAGTACATGTTTTACCACATCTGGAGATACGTCAGTCTTAGTGGTGTCTTCAAAGTGACATAAGATATTCTGCCACTCACCACACCTTAGTCCAAGGGATACAGCCTTTTTTTTATTTATAAGTACAACAGCATTGACATCAGGCTCACCACCAACAACTTTCACAGCCTTACAATGTAATGACTTGAGTGATAACCTTCGTAATTTCACTCTGTGTTTGGATTGGTTGAACTTTGATTGCTTGGCAGCATATAATAACGGGTTGTCGATGTGTGGCCTGCTGACTTTGATTAAAAGGCAGGTATAAAGTACTATCTGCAAGTACCTCCACAATCTTAACACAGTCTCATCCTCAGCCATCATATACCACACAGTACCTGAAAAAAAAAATCACTTACTCCTTTCAGCAAAAAATAAATAAAATAATAATAATAATGTACATATTGTATTAGGTAACATACTGTACAGTGGCTGCTGGTAAATAAGCAATGGGCTCAGTCAAAAAATAACGACACACTGTTAAATGATCAAACTAAGTGACAAACTCTCCAACCAATAATTATACTGTACTATACTGCAGTTAGTATTACCAGCAAGAGGGGCTTTCATTTCTGGTGAAACACTCTATATATACTTTATATTATCAAAATAGATCACCCACTTCAAGAAAGGGGGAAAGTGATTGGGAAGAATGATGCAAGGCAAATATTGTACCAGCAAATAGCAAGGTTTTATAGAAATTGTTTCATTATTAATTTGAGGATTTTGTCCTGGCAGGCATTTTATACCTGAACAACATCCCATTACATCCATGAATGTTTGCCAGTGACCAGCAAATGATTTGATTCATTGTAAATAAGATAAATTAACCAACCAAACCTACCCATCATAGAACGGAAGTGTTTTACTGTATCATAGGTTAAGTTAGATAAGTTGATTTTTTTTTCACCACTTAGGAGTTTACTAGCCATTCAGGCAGATGGTCTATCCAGTGTTAGTACAGGAGGAAATTGGAAGTCTTTTCGCATGTTCCGGCCAAGGCTCAAACCCTTGACAAATTGGTGAGAGATATTGTACAGTACACACATTACCATTGTATACCACCAACTTTGTTTACAGTTTGTATGGAACGTTTGCTGGGAAGAGTTTGGTTGATTTACATTAAGATCCCTCATTGGCAAATGTGTCAACAGTTGAACCATAAACATGATGTTCAAGGGTTTACGGACTGCATTTACTCTTTCACAGAAACTATAGAAAACTAACACTGGAAATTTGCAATTCTTCCATCTTTCTTTTTGGATACTCAAGAGGTAAGAAAGAAGTTTTCTTCTATAGAATTTTGGTAATTCTAGACAAGAGTAGTACAATAACAGTCTTGAGGAAATTTCTCATTTGAAGATAAAAGCCTTCTTTCCTCGAGAAACTAACAAAATTGCACAAGGAATGCAAGAGTTCGTGTGAAGTTCAGGCGCCAGACTCGGATGATCTTGGTTGCCAGTTACCGATGACACCGGGTGGTATTGAAGAATCCTCTACAACTGGCAATGGGCCCAAACTTAAACCTGGACTGAAGTGGATCCCATGTGCAGTTCCTTGATACGGCCTTACGATATTTGGATATCAAGTTACCACTATATTTGGATATCAAGTTACCACTTATTCTTTTTAATGTGGCTATTCTCTATTCTTTATTTTGCTCTGTATATTTAACCATTTGTTGTAGCATTGTTATATGTTTTGTTGAACTAATCTTAAGTTTTAATCTACCTTACAGTAGATTTTTGTTGGGGGAGTTGTGTAAGGGCTGTAACGAGCAGGATGGTGGTCCGCCGCTCGTTTGTTTGTTCGCGGCCCCACCAGGGGGCCAGCCAGCACCATAGCTGCACTTCCCCGCTGTTCGATCCAACTGTGGCTGTGTACTCCTCCGAGGCTCCTGGGGCTCGTGGACTGATTCCCCAGTCCTTCACTATTCGGCTGTCAATCTCCGGACACCTATTCCAGCTACTACTGTGGCTGCCACGTCATCGCCACTTCCTCCACGCCCTATCCACCGTCCGTGCCCTGGCGTCTCTCCTGTGTGGCAAGACATCACCCACCAGCTCCGGCGCCAAGTGAGGAAGCTGCCCTGGACCTTCCCCCTGAGAGCGGACCACTGCGTTAACAGAACATTCCACCGGGCTGCAGCCGTAGGAAATATCTGTACTTTGTTTGACTCCCGTAATTGTTTGACTCCCGTATTTGTTTATTTAATATTTATGAGTGGTGTCAATTATTGAATATTTTCGTAGTAGAGAGATGTCAATCTCTAACGGTTGTTTGTTATACCTTGGAAACCCATGGTTCTTGAATTTCCTTTCATAAGATCCTGATTAGGCTGGCAAGGGATTTATATCCAAAGTGTGTATATATATATATATATATATATATATATATATATATATATATATATATATATATATATATATATATATATATTTCATGTAATTCCACAATGAAAACGTGGATAAGATAAATCTTGATAAAATCACACGGGAAAATGGAAACAACGCCTTAGCTTTCGTCTTTATTCAAGACATCTTCAGAGGCCTCTGAAGATGTCTTGAATAAAGACAAGCTAAATATATATATATATATATATATATATATATATATATATATATATATATATATATATATATATATATATATATATATATATTTATTTATTTATTTATTTATTTATATATTTGGGTATGAGATAACTCGTACCTCATAATTGGGTACGAGTTGACATGTTCTGATGGGTACGATTTGCTTGAGTATAAGTTGTCCAACACATTATTATTTGGCCCCTGGTTGAAATGGCCTTAGAAATACTCTAAATAAGGATCTCTAAGGGTTGGGGATGGTAAAACAGTCGTAAGTGTATTGACCGAATCTGCAGTAATACCAAAAACCACCGGAAAGCATAATTTCAACCCAACTTAACCTAACATAGCTTAGCCCAACCTAACTTAAACCTTAATAACAAACAAACGGACAGGAGCTTTCTCACAAGGGGGTAACAAACAATTATTGAGATTTTCTCGGAAGTAATCATTTGCGTAAGAAATGCTACCGTTACAGAAGAAACGAGTCTTAGAATTGTCTAAACTACTGATCCCAAAACTTATAAACCTAAAATTCACTGGATAACCGAAACGATAATACCTTTGATGAAAAAATGAGCGAAATGGAACAACGCGTTTTGGTGTTAGCCATATGCTCCAGAATTACCAAAAGATTTTAATTACCTTCTAATTAAGAGAGGTCGCGTTTCAAAAACTTAAAAATCCATTTTAACAATAAGCCAGTCTGGTGGTGGTCAATCAAGAGAGCCGCTAGTGTTTTGTTCCAGCATTGTGTGGACCAAGGAGACTAGAAACATTGTAGGGAACCTCACTTATATTTTCTTTCGGCCCCCGACACTACCGTCATCTATTGAACAAACTATTTATCATAGAAAATGGTCATTGACAATCCCAAAAATGTTTTTAATGGTAACTCTAGCATTTCTTGCTGTTCATACTTTCTCTTACCTCGGTATTCATTCGATTATTTGTTTTTATTATTTATAATTTTGCAAAATATCACCTAATTAGCTATTCGGGCGGATTGTCTAATCTTTGTTAGTTTTGTGCCCATCCGGGCATAGGTCATCGACCCACAACAGGGCCAAGGAGGTGAAAAAATAAGAGTAAAAGGAAATTAAAAATGGAAAAGAAAAGACCATATTAACTTAAACCACGAAGATGCCGGAAAACCAGACTTTAGGAAATTTAAATTTAAACCTGCCAACGGCTCTCAAGTATTGCCCTTTCTCCTGTTGCACCTTATATATTTGCTGCACAATAAACTCCACTTTTTTATCTGTTTTCATCCTTTGGAAATTGGTGATATATCAAACTCACATCATGTAGTCTGTAATTTGATATGCATCCAAATACGGCGCATTTATCAGGCATTGTCACAGACCTTCACACCACGATGGCCAGCTGGTGACTGAGGTCTGAGGAGGTCCCACCCCGACCCCAGGCCATACCCCGAGGCCTCCGTCATGCCTGGCAATGGATGAATTTTCGACTTAAAATGGGTTGACACCTTTTTAATTAGACTTTGATTTATTTAACCATTGAAATTATGCTGCTAATGTACTGGGCAAGTCAAAATCGCGAAGATTTCGTTCACCTGAGGCAAAACAATGCAGACCTAAGTAGACAGGGCAGTCGATATCTCAACCAAGACAAGTTCACAACAAAGAGACCGTCCAAATAGCTAGAAAGGCAATTGATGAAATGCTAATTTAGACTGCAATTTTACAGTCATTGCTTATGAATCGACCACATAACTATGAACTTACCTTTTCCTATCTTTTGGGAAGAAATGAGATCTTATGTTTATATTTTTTCTTTGTTTTTCCCCAAAACAACACAACCGGGACAGGGAAATCTGTGTTTGGTAGGGTCACACTGGATAACACCCTTCTCGGCCAGGACACACGTGAGAAGGGTGCTATCCAGTGTGACCCTACCAAACATCACAGGTTTCCCGGTTCCCGGTTTCTCCTGTACTAACAATGGATAGACCAACCGCCCGAACGGCTCGCAAGCTGATAAGTGACGAAAATTAAAAAAAAAAAACGGTAGCCGGTGTTTGGAACCATGTTTATATAATGTATCTACCGCCACGCCTCCTCAGCCAAGTGAACAGACAGCCGACGCACCCAGAGCCGTAGATAGAATTTGGTCAACTCGGTGGCATGTGGGCGCCATATTGTTACTTAGTTGATGAAGAAGTTTGCGCTCAAACTGTAGACTATACAGTGTTGAGGATGATGATGATAATGGTGGTATTGTTTAGTTGTTGAAATTGTCATACATGTTTACAATACGACAAACATGTTTATAAACTATGTGTGGGAGAACCCGATGGGTAACAACTTGGCGCCTGGTTGGCCGAACTCTATCTACGGATCTGGACGTAAAAGCTGCTCAGCGCCATCTCTAAGACAAACATTCAACTAAGAGTAGTAGTTCCTTATGATATTCCTTGGTGTGGACTTCGTAAGGTATAATGTGCTGTTTTAAACCATAACAGCCTTTTAATCATGTTTATGAATTTGTCCTTATTCTATCAGTTGTCAACATTATATTTTCAAATATTGATTTGAAGTATTCCTTTGATAAGCGGTTGCGGCCCACTTGGTGCAGTGGCAGCGCACTTGCCTAAGAGAATTTCGTTCCGGGTTCGAGCCCCAGGCCAGAAGTGAGATGGGCTCAGTACTTTTACTTTTATCCTCTTCTCCACTGATCGGCTCGTTAGCCGCTTGTGCGATCGGTCACGTCTCTCTTACTTTTTTTTTTCTTTTATCCTCTTCACCAAATGATCGGCTCGTTAGCCGCTTGGGCGATCGGTCACGTCTCTCTTACGCACTGTTGGCAAGTACTGGGCATGCACCAGCTCCTGAATGTACCTGAACCTGCTCCAGTGTTGGTCAAGTCTGGTCTTGGAAGAGCTCACACTCGGTGCCGTCACAACACTTTCTTGTAGATTGTTCCAAGAGTTCACAACTCTCACTCCGAAAATGCTTGCCCTCACAGTTTTCTGGACTTGCGGTTTCTTCAATCTTGAGCTGTGACCCCTTGTGGGGCGAGCGTCCGCCAGCTCCAAGTAAGGACACTCGACTGAGTAGTGCCCCTTGAGATGCTTATACACCTCAATTAGGTCACCCCTTGCCCGTCTGTAGTAGAAGCTAGGCAAGTTCAGGCGCTCCAATCTCTCAAGGTAGCTGAGGTGCCGAAGTGCAGGCACAAGTCTAGTGGCCCTCCTTTGAACATTTTCAACCAACTGACAGTCCCTAGCATATCTCGGGGACCAGACGGGGTGACAGTACTCCAGATGGGGAAGCACTTCACTCTTGAAGATCGTTACGAGGGACGGGGACCGTCTAGATATCTGAACGACCTTCTTATAAGACCCAATAATTTATTTGCCTGTTTTACCTTCTTCTCGCAATGGCCCGAGAACTTCAGCTCATTGTCAACGTACACACCCAGGTCCTTCTCACATTCAGTCTCAAATAGTGCAGTTTCTTCATCTCGTTGGGACATATGATACGCCTCCTTATCGTTGGTACGCCCCAGGTGCATCCTCTTACACTTCGTGATATTGAATCTCAGCAGCCATTTCTTCGACCATTCTTGGAGCTCTTCACAGTCCGCTTGGTTCTTGGTTCCCGAAATAACTTGGCGTCATCGGCAAACATTTGTATGGAGGAGTGTACAACGACAGGCCTGTCATTTATGAAACAAACAAACAACAGCAGGCCCAATACACTGCCCTGTGGTACCCCGCTTGTGACAGTTACGGATGATGATTTCGTGCCATTAATCACCACACACTGCTTGCGGTCATGTAGAAAGTCTTCTATCCACGCTAGGACACTTCCCCAAGTTCCGTACCCTTCCAGTTTGATTTTCAACCTTTCGTGGGGTACACTGTAGAAAGCCTTGGCAAAATCTAGGTAAATATTGTCGATATTACCAACCCGTTCCAGAATATGGGTCCAAATATCCAATACCTTGAGCAATTGTGTTAAGCAGGAGCGCCCCGGCATAAAACCGTGTTGGAAATCCTTTACAAGGTTGTTTCGTAGTAGATGTTCCAAAGTGGCATCTCTGATAGTACTCTCAAGTACTTTACATATTATGCTGGTCAGGCTCACCGGTCTATAGTTGTTCGTGGAGTGACGATCGCCCTTCTTAAAGATCGGACTCACATAAGCCACTTTCCATTCACCGGGGACCTTTTTTTTCATCCAGGCATTTACAAAACAGGATCTTCAGGGGCTCTGCAAGCTCGTTGCACAACTCTCTTAGCACTCTAGGATGCACCATGTCAGGGCCGGGACTCTTATGGACCTTTAGCTTTGGCAGTTTATTTCTAATACCCTCTTCTGTGAACACAATGTGGGTCAGTGCTATGTCGAACCGTCTGTCCTCAAACTCAGGAAGGTTAATCGCATCCTCTCATGTGAACACCGAGGAAAAGAAGCTAGCTGTTCAATGCCTCAGCTTTGTCCTGGTCGGTATGCCCCAACAAAACATCTCCAAGTAATCCAGTACAATAGACAATAGAGATCGTAACAGAGAACAGACCACTCTTGTGCCGAGATAAATCACTGCTATATCTTAAAAATTTGATGTTAAGAGTACACACAGTAATATTGTAAAACAGGCTATGGCCTTTTTTGAAAGCGAATAATAGCTGAGACACAGCGGATAAATATCAATTGGATAAATCTAAAAACCTGCCAAAGTAAGCAAAAACTACAAATATGAAATGAATAAAACTAATAAACCTTAAAAAATATATATATATTTATAACATAAAAGAAATGTATGACTACGCTCCTACGATTCCTACCTTTAAATCATCTCTTAAAAAATATCTATTATCCAAGTATTTATATTTTTGTAACACATTATCATCAAAACCATTATATCATATTTATATTGTCACGTAAATAGAAGTTACCATTACACTAATTATATATTTCCCGTCAAGCCATTATACTGACTGTCTGTCCCCTTGTTTCACCCTAATACAACCCATATTGTATTGCTTCCCTCATTTATCAGATTACTGTATAATTATCAACTCTACTGTAAAATATGTATATATTTATAATATAAATGTAAAATATTAAATCAATAAATAAAAAGTGATAATCATGGTAGCATTCTCATATGTATTTACCAACACCATGTTACAAGTACTAATCCAGATGATACTAAATGTTATGTAACAATTCCTTGAGATAAATGTAGAGTACATATCAGGTGCCACTAGAGCTCAGGCTCTCAATTGGCTTAGACATGTCAATATTATTATTATCCACTCTGTATCCGTATTTTCTGGCTAAATAAACTGCTTCAGCATCAATATCAATGATAATATCAAAGGGGTTGTTGATGGAGTTGATGGAAAATGTCAAGTACATTGATGTCTCTCCATCAGGCGGTCCTTATCACGATATAAAGATACATCTCTATACCTCGGTCCTTATGAGGCTTGAGGAACATGTTGAAACGTGTCAACTAGTGAAAAAATAAACAAAATTGAACTACAGTAGTGGGCCTTTTGCATACAATCAGCAGTGACCATCCAGACTCACTTTACACCAGCGACCTAGGTAAATATAATTATGTACAGTACATGGCTGTTGTTGTCTTTCCATGACTCAGATTTAGAAGTTGAAAGGTAACAAATACATCAATATTCTTCAAAATTATTTGTATTACCCTGAAACTAGTTAAACCATTAACTTGTTCATATTTTTTCCTAAATACACTGAGGTACATC